TATGACAATGGTTAAATGGGCAATCGAGGGGATATGCAAACCATTAACCCATGTTTTTAACATGTCGTTTCGACTTGGGCAGTTCCCCAAAAATATGAAAATAGCAAAGGTTATTCCACTGTATAAATCTGGTGATAAGCACAACTTCACAAATTATAGACCGGTTTCTCTGTTGTCACAATTTTCAAAAATCTTGGAAAAACTTTTTAATAACAGATTAGACACATTTATTGATAGACATAAAATCGAGATGAAGTTGTCAGCTGTTGTGATTTTTACTGAAGAGATGCACTGGCAGGACATCGTCAATTTGTGAGGTTGGGTGAATACCAATCGAGTGAGCTGGATATTGTATGTGGAGTGCCTCAGGGTTCTGTTTTGGGACCTAAATTATTTATATTATACATTAATGATATATGCAAGGTTTCTGATTTAGTGAAAGTGGTTTTGTTTGCTGATGACACTACCATATGGGCATCGGGTGAAAATCTACAGCAACTCTCTGGACGGGTTTCACAGGAACTTGAGAAGATAAAGAAATGGTGTGGCAGTAATATACTGTCTTCTGATCCATTATGTTTGTTTTGATGTATTAATAAAGAAAAGTTTACTTTTGTGCCACCATTTTTTTGTGCTGTTGCGCAGTCACAAGTGTGTGACCTTACACAACTGTTGCAAACAAAAATACACTCCACAAGTGTATGTTGGCCAAGATCTACTAATAACTGTGCATGCACCAAATTCATTCAGGCTAGACTTTCTAAGTAACGTTTGTTAATTAGTGTGATGTGCTTTTGCTAAATACTGTGCCACTGATGCAAACTTAAAATTTTTACTAAAATCTAGCAAACTTGCTTAGGTATTTCATGCAAGATTTGCTATTTGCATTTTCACTACTGTTCAAAGGTTTGAGGTCACCTTCATTTTCCCAGTTTTTCTTTTGACATTTAAGTCGTTCAAGTCCAGTGAATAACCTTAAATGGTACAAAGCTAAGAAGTGAACTGCCAGATGTAAAAAAAAACAACAAACAAACAGAAATGTCACCCAATGCTGAAAATGTATTAAACTTCAAGTAAAACAGGGATCAAGTAACAGGTAAACTCCCATCTTTTCCACAGTGGTAAAAGTAAACGAAGCCTTGAAAACTGAAGCAAACAGTTCCTATGTGTCCAACCATTTGATTACTTATGACAACAGATTTTGTCTGTACAAAAGCAGTGTTGGACAAGACAGTATTACTACATCCTCTGAGGCAGTATTTGGAAAAAGGTCATTAACAAAGGAAGTCAGAGATTTTGAGGGTTTTATCCTATAGTGGGATAATGAGCCAAAAACATCTTCAGGCTGTGTAGAAGAAATGAACATGATAGTTGGTTTCAAATGATGGGATAGCAGCACAGTGTTCAGACTTTCCAGATGAAGAGTGAAAGCAAAGCAACTGACATGTGCAACACATCTGTAGCAACTTCTGCAACAGTGCTGTCTGTCCCAACAGTGTTTGGTTTCAGTTGCAGAAAGAAAGCCACAAGTGTGTCTGACTGTTGGATTGCACTGATAAAGTGAAATTAAATTACACTGATAACAGCTGGAAAATTAAGGAGACCTCAAATGTTTGAATGGTAAGTGAGGGGTTCAAATGTATAATAAACTGACTGACACCTGTTAAGCCTATAGCTTTATTTTCCTTGACACTGGAATATAAACTGCAAATTCAGAATGAGAACAGTGTTGCCAAATCACCAGCAACCAAAAACTGTCACACAGAGCAGCTGTGAGCAGGAAGTCAGAAAATGGAAATGAAGCAGGAAGTGAAACTAAACATGCCCTCGATTGAGCTCAAACCAATGTACTGAGATGTCAGGCACAATGAAGAAAAAAGCACCACTCTGCACCCAGAAAAAAACCCTACTTTGTTCATAGAGCTGACTTAAAGTTGACCTTTTTTAAAACTCTTTGTTAAATAAAAACACCTTTAACAATATCTACTCCTGATTAGCATACAGTTACAGTCATAGTTTAATAAAATCCTGTTTATATACAACCTTTCAGAATTTGTATATGTACTAGGGCTAGCCCCTAAAAGTCTGAGACTCTTAATTCATTATGTTTTTTTTTTGTCACCAGGTTTGTCATCTTCTTCTCCTCATTTTGGTGTGCCAAGTGGCAATTTGCTCAATATTTCCCCCTGTGGTCGGGGAAAATACCCACTTTAAAGGTCCAACTAGAGAAATGCATTTCCTGTCGAAAATGCGTGTGGATGCTGTGTGCTGAAGGATCGCCCTGAAAATGCTGAACATTTTGTCAGCTGAAAGGCTTATCTACCTGAAAGTATGCTGAGTGCAGAATTTCCCCATGCGTTTGAATGGGGCATGATTTTCAGAATAAAGGTAAATATTATAAAAGTATGAAGTTTAGAAAATTTCTTAAGAAAAGCATGAATGTCCTGGGAGAGCTGAACATTCTGATACCTGAAATACCTGAAAGTATGCTGAGTGCAGAATTTCCCCATGCGTTTGAATGGGGCATGATTTTCAGAATAAAGGTAAATATTATAAAAGTATGAAGTTTAGAAAATTTCTTAAGAAAAGCATGAATGTCCTGGGAGAGCTGAACATTCTGATACCTGAAATACCTGAAAGTATGCTGAGTGCAGAATTTCCCCATGCGTTTGAATGGGGCATGATTTTCAGAATAAAGGTAAATATTATAAAAGTATGAAGTTTAGAAAATTTCTTAAGAAAAGCATGAATGTCCTGGGAGAGCTGAACATTCTGATACCTGAAATACCTGAAAGTATGCTGAGTGCAGAATTTCCCCATGCGTTTGAATGGGGCATGATTTTCAGAATAAAGGTAAATATTATAAAAGTATGAAGTTTAGAAAATTTCTTAAGAAAAGCATGAATGTCCTTGAAGAGCTTTGATAACTGAAATTACGCTGTAGTAGAATTTTCCCATCCTTTTGAATGGGGCAAGATTGTCAAAATAAAGCTAAATATTTCAAAAGTGTGAAGAGCTGAACATTTTGATACCTGAATGGCTTTGCTAGCTGAAAGTATGCTGAACTTATTAAAGATGTGAAAATAGTAGGGGCATGTCCCAATTGCACTGCATTTTATGGACCACCAGATGGCACTCCAAGACTGTGTCATTGACTCAGCACTTTGAGCTCCAATTGACTTGTATTACAAAAAATAAAGCTGAATAATTTAAAAAGGTATAAACATTACAACAAAGAAAAATACAAGCAGGGGTGTCCTTGAAGAGTTGAACAGATAGAGACCTCAATGGCCTGTATAGCTGAAAGTATGCTGGAACTATAAAGTGCCAAAAAAAAGGTGGAAGATCCCAGAATAATAATAATAAATAAAGAACAGGAGAACATAGTGTGGATGCTTTACAGCACACTATTTAGCAAATTGCTGCCCAGAATGAGGAGAAAAGGACAACAAAATCCACTGGGACAAACCACTGAAAGGTGAAATTTGTACTTTATTAGAAGTGATTTCAAACATCATGTGGCTGGTTTTGCATATGTGTGTCGTTTGCACAACCGTTTAATGTTCTGTGACATGCATCCAAACAGGATTAAGAAGCTAACAAAAATGTGCTGGGAAAACAATGAGGAATTATAAATAAGAGGTATCATAAAAGTATATTCCTATGTTCTTTAGTAGGTGGCATGCATCAAACATAACATGCGCTGGTGGTTAACTGACAAGAGAAGCTCAAACTAGTCTCTAACCATTTCTCAGAAGAAAAAATCACCTATAAGAGCATCGTTTCAGCCGAAGGAGTGCGCTGCCTGTCTCATTATTTCGACAAATCCATGTGGCAGCCCAGCATTTTATATCATCAATTTAAATAGGTAGCATTTTAAATATTGCATCATATGCAGATGTGTTTTATTGATTTTTAAATACTCAGACATATGTATCTCACAGCCCACAAGTCTTGATCCATAAACCAGATTTACTCTGTAAAACAAGCAACAAAAAGCACCATCCTACTTGCCACAAGTTGACTACAGTATGAATCAAATCACCTGTGTCGATGGCAAATTACTGAAAACAAGATTAACATAAAGAGTCAAGCAGAATATCCAGTAAATAATAATATCCAGACCCATTGCATAATATGAAATAATGCAATACAGAATAGAGAAGCTGCTTTTTTAGAACCAGCATAAATATGACTTTGGTTAAAAAGGCTTGAGGGGTGTGGTTTTATGGTGAATCTGGGCCCCGGTGTCACAAAATAAGTATGCAGCTCCAACTTACTGGAAGATGTAGATGTACCACAAATTTTAATGATAATAATTTGAATTATTTTTACTTACCTTTCTGCTAAATTTCCTAATTTACTTGGATTTTGTGCAGATTATGAGTCACACCAGTTGTCATGATTCTGTCCTGTCAGTTTCTGTTTCCATGTTTTTATTTTGACTTTACTTCCTGTTCCTGTTTGCCTTAGTTTCAGACTTTTTACTTTAATCACTAGTTATTACACCTGTTTTCACCCCTTTATAGGCAGCTTTCCCCCACGGGGATGCTGCCAGATTGTTCTCTATATTCATGTTAACCTAGATTCTGTTTACTGGACTCCTGTTTTTGTATTGTGTTATTTGTGACCGGGACCTTATTAAAAGGATTGTTTTCTGTTTTACCTCATCAGGCAATATAATTGAGTTTACCCATGACATTTTTGGTAGCTTCACGCGCCAATCCTGACACCAGTGTCTTAGAAACACTGTTCTTAAGGGATTTTTGTTACAATGATAAAATGACTACTGCTTGCTTTGTTTTGCTGATTCTTTAAATTTGCATTCATTAATGCAGTCATTTGTGTTTTGTTAAGATCTTAGTGGTTAAAACCCATTGCCCTGTTTCTACAGTAAATACATCATAATAACCCATCATCTCGTTCATGCCTGTAGTACTGTCTGTACATTTTTAAGTGACTCACTCCCAGGTGACTGCTCTCTGTCCTCTCTCTCTCAGTTCCTGTGCCTCAAGAACATCAGGACCTTCCTGGAAGCTTGCAGCGAGATATTTGGCATGAAGAAGAGTGAGCTGTTCGAAGCCTTTGACCTTTTTGACGTCAGGGACTTTGGAAAGGTAAGACAGGACTGCACAGTTACATGGAAAAAGATGAAGGCTGATGTAGGCAAATGTGCTTTTACATCCATCTTTTTCCTTGTAAGTTATGGAACTCGGTCAAAATGATGTATTATTATTTATTAAGTAAAAGTAAGTAAATTCCTTTTTCAGCAATTTCAATTTTAAATGATAACTAGACAGCAAGGGGTAAGTCCGTTTCCTCATAATGCCATAAAAGCAGTACTCCTATGACAGTCTGACCCTCATAATATGATTGCTTGACCATGAAAACCTACTGCTGGCATGGAATGATGCCGACATCTTTATTAGTTTGACAGATATTTAAAAAAAAAAGATAGATGTGACAGTCACTCATTTTACAAGCAGGGGCCTACCCTCACTAACAATGAATGGAAGCATAAGGACGAATGAATGAACTATGAAGATACTGAATGCTTGTGAATAATTGGCTGGTTGTGCACTTGTTGGTTTTGGGGAAGGTTAAGGAGGTCTGGGCTGCTCTTGAGTACTGGCAGACCCCCAAAACCTTCTAACAAAAATGTGCAGACAGAATGGCTAAGTGTCTCGGGGTTTAAATAGAGAGGCTAAGTCCAGCACCCTATGGTCTCAGTAAGGTGGCCAGGGATTCTTATGCAGAAGCTGTAGTTGTGACTTTGATACAGGATGAGTGATCTGAGTAAGATCAGGGACCATACCAGGGAAAGTCAGTTCAATTAATTTCTGTTCTATTATATAGCACCAATTCATAACACTTGTCTCCTGGTACTTAACATAATCAGGAAATTATTATAAGGAAAAACCCAACAAATCCCCCTTGAGCAAGCACTTGCTGACAGTTGGGAGGAAAAACTCCCTTTACCGGAAGAAAGCTCCGACAGGCCCCGGCTCTTGGTGGGCAGCCTTCTTTTTACTTCTTTCTCCTTTCTACTTCTGGCGCCACACAGATTGGCAGTGAGTTCCAGCAGCTCTGTCCTCTTTTGTGTTTTCTTGTGTTTTTTCCCGTGCTTTCTGTGTTTGCTTTGTGTTATACTTCTTCTGTAGGCCTCTGTGGAGCAGTACTACTAGGAGTACATCTTTTTATTGCATTTACATTATGTTTTATACATTTTCGCGAGCTCCCGAGTCAGGGGACTCTGGGAGCAGTGGCCCCATTGTTCACTCTCAAGACCAGCAGCTCACCCTCGAGAAGCTGGAGATTCCCACGGAGATACGACGAAAAATGCAAGGCGGTAGGGCTGGAGTAAAGCGCCGAGAGAGGAAACGGAGGTATAAGCCATGTCTACCATCTGTTGTTATGGGAGATGTCCGGTCCCTCTCCAACAAGATGGATGAGCTAATGGTGCTAACAAGAGTGGAAAGGGTGTACAGGGATAGTAGCATTATTTGTTTCACCGCGACCTCGATGAACAATTTCTGATTCTGTGGTCTCCCTACAGGAAATCACACTAGTTCGTGCAGATTGAAGCGCAGCAGAGAGTGGTAAGAAGAAAGGGGGGGTTTAACTGTATACATAAATAACAGATGGTGTAATCCCGGACATGTTACTGTTAAGGAAAAATTCTGTAGCAGAGACATTGAACTATTAGCTGTCAGTGCACAGCCATACTATATTCCCAGGGAGTACTCTCATGTAATTGTGGTGACGGTGTACATAAATCCCTCTGCCGATGCTACTGCTGCGTGCGAGCACGTGCAGAGCACTGTGTCTAGGTTGCAGACACAACACCCACATGCTTTAATTCTCATCTCAGGGGACTTTAACCATGCCTCCCTCCCCTTCTCTGCCACCCTCCCTAACTTCAAACAGTATGTTAGTTGCCGCATGAGGGACAATAAAACTCTGGATCTACTGTATGCAAATGCCAGAAATGCATACACCTCTGCCCCCCTCCCCCCTCTAGGTCATTCTGACCACAACCTTGCCCACCTGCTTCCTGTGTATACTCCAGTGGTGTATAAGGTGTCACCACAGGTCAGGGTAATAAAGATATGGACAGAGGAGGCAATTGAGCAGCTGAGAGACTATTTTAACACCACAGACTGGGACATCCTCTGTACTCCTCATGGAGAGGACATAGACGACCTCACACACTGTGTTTCGGATTACATAAACTTCTGTATGGAAAACACTGTACCATCCAGGAGAGTATGGTGTTTTCCTAACAACAAGCCATGGGTGAGCCCCGAGTTAAAAGTACTGCTAAATGAGAAGAAGAGGCTTTCCTCTCAGGGCACAAGGAGGAGCTGAGCAGAGTGCAGTGGGAACTAAAGTACATGATCCGGAGGTGCAAGGCTAGCTACAGGAAGAAGCTGGAGCAGAGCATGGAGAATAACAACGTGTGTGAGATGTGGAGAGGCCTGAAACACATGTCAGGCTATGGTAAAAGTGGTGATGGTCACAGGTCGCGGGGGACAAGGCCTAGGCAAATGAACTGAATCTGTTTTTTAACAGATTTGACTCTACCAAGTCCTTAGCCCCCACCATGCCACCCCTCCGTCTCACCTCTCCAGGTCATTTGTCTCCTCGCAGCTGCAGCTGCTCACACCTCAGCCAGACCTTGCCCCTCCTTCCACTGTCATGGGGGGTTCTCAACAGCCCACAGCTCCTGAGCAGTCACCACCCACCCGTCCCCTCAGTCTCACGGTGGACCAGGTCAGGAGGGAGTTAAGGAGGATTAAGGCCAGGAAGGCCTGGAGAGAGTTCCGGTTCTGTGGAAGACATCCTGTGCGGTCCCAGTTCCTAAAATAACTCATCCCAAGGAGCCAAACCATTACAGACCCGTTGCCCTGACCTCCCACCTGATAAAGGCCATGGAGTATTGTCCTTGGCCACCTCCGTGCCCAAGTGAGCTCAGCACTGGACCCGCTGCAGTTTGTATATCGACCTGGCATCAGGGTAGACGACGCTATTATCTACATGCTGCATCGAGCCCTATCTCACCTGGAGTCCCCCAGAAACATGTCATGTTCTTTGACTTCTCCAGTGCTTTCAACACAATCCAACCGTCACTGCTGAGGGGGAAGTTCGAGGGGGCAGGTGTGGACCAACACCTGTCAGAATTGATCATTAACTACCTCACAAACAGACCTCAGTTTGTAAGTCGGCGAGACTGTGTGTCGAACGTGGTAGTCTGCAGCACAGGGGTACCCCAGGGGACGGTGCTTTCCCCCTTTCTGTTCACCCTCTACATGTTGGACTTCAAGTACAACTCCCACCAGTGTCATCTACAAAAGTTCTCAGATGACATTGCTATTGTTGGATGTGTAT